TTCAATCGAATTTATTGTGATGGTTCGAGTCTAATTTCATATATATATATATAGTTTACAGTTACCTACAATAATTATGCTTTTAGTAATGAATTTACAACATGTAAGTAATATTATCACAAACGTAATTTCAACTTTTCAATTTTATATTTATTTTCGTAGTGATCTCCTGATGAAGCCAAGAATGTTGGCGATAATTTAAGAATTAATAAATGTAACAACATCATCCCATCGTTTTGTTCACAAGTGTTTTCCTATCGACACCCTCAATTTAATAATCTTTAATAGTAGGTATGTGTTACTTTCTTGCCACTTATTTTATCATTTATGATAAAAATTTATTTCACCGCTTGCCCTTTAATTATCCTTTTTTTACATATATATAAAAGACATTAACGCATTTTATATTTTTAGTTTTCTGCACGCCAGGACTAATTTTTTTAAATTATCGAGATAACTTTTACGTAACATTACATATAGAGATTAGATTGTTATCTATATAGGTATAGTCTTCATGGTGGAAAGTATACTAACTAGACACAGTAATAATATAAATTAAAAATGATTCAGCTGATTTGAAGTTATCTACTAATTATTAAGTCTGATTTTAACTCAATATAATGTTAAACTGTTCAACAATAACATAAAAATGGATATATAAACAAAATAAGTAATTGATTAGTTAAATAGTTTTCAATGAGTACCAAAAACGTTAGTAATGAATCGGATTTTCAAAGTAAACTGTATGGTGATGAAAATAATGAACATAACAATACAGAATTGTTAATTAATTATAGTTTTATGAAAATAGCAGCCTTCGTTCCTATCATAAAATGAACAGTTAATTAATAGAGTTCGATCATGTGTATTATCTATAAGTTGTCTATTGAAATAATTCTTTTCCGACAAAAATGTTGGGCGTTTTTGCGTACCAAGACTGTAGTGTTTTGGATCTTGGTACAAATCATAAAACACTAGTATAAAAAAATATATAGGTACTAATAAAATTAGTGTCTTAAGTTTCTAAACATCACTGGTTGGATGGACGGTGGGGGTGATAGTCCTTATCCCCTCCTTGGACCAGCCCCTGCCATATTATTTACGTCTTATTTTTATATTTTTTATATTGGGCATATCGAGTCATTGAGTGTTGTGCAGTCGATACTGAACAGTTTGCAATTAGTGTCTTACGATTACTGTTTTAACGAGCAGTTCAGGAAACATTTAAACCAGAGTCGACACAGTGGAGTTTAACAATTGGTATAATGGAATCCGAGAATTTTAAAATTATCAAAGGAACCGTCAAATATCTCGACGACGAGAAGATGGTAAAGGCAAACAATATTTCCCGTGTGAAGGTAACGGAATATAAAATTTATCTGGAGAAACATGGATGGACAACAATTACTTTATACCAAACAGATGGAAAAGAAATAGACGAGGGTGAAATAGAAAAATCAATCATGGAATGTTTGCATGAAATGTACAAATCTTATCCCTCAGGAATTTCTGAAGAAAAAAACATTCCAAAATGTAAACTGTAGTTTATATGAAATACAAAATAATCCTGTAATTCAAGTAAGGAATAAAAAATTTCAATTAACTGTCTATCAAATATGTTTTTGGTAACTTAAAACCCTCATATTTTGCAATTAAGGGTCATATAAATTGTTTAAAGAAAATTTTTAAATTACAAATGTTTTTTTTTTGAGTTTCTTCATGCAATCATATAGAAATATCTTATACATATAAGATGACATACATTAAGATTAGAACAGGGGTCGGCATTTTATGTAGGGTCCGGATACTTTTGAAAATTTTTATTTTAATTTGCCTAAAAACACACAAATCATTAAGAACTCAAATGAGTCATACAATTACTTGTAAGATAGTACAAAAGATGATAAGGTTCGCGCTCAAAGCTGAAACATATTAGCAGAAAAATATTTTTAAATGCAGTATGACGCAGGATACGTTCCATCAAAGTAGAGCGTAATGCGAAACAGAGCTAAACGAGGCTATATTAACATGTTAATAATGGGGTTAGGGGAAGATGGATAGAAAATTGGTTAGGTATTAAATATAATAATTGTTTTTTTGGTAATTTTTTACATTAGTTAACATTGGAATTGAGACATGAAGTTTTGTCAGGTAGGTAGTAC